GGCTCGCTGGCCGGGAACGGCGACGCCACGTGCAGCACGGCGTCGGCGCCCGCGCACGCCGCGTCCCAGCCGGCCGCGTCGCCGAGGAGGTCGACCTCGGCGAACTCGACGCCGGCGATGGCCGAGGCGGCGACGCCGGCAGAGGCGAGGGCGGTGCGCACGTCGGAGGCGCGCTGCAGCGAGCGCACTGTCGCGCGCACCCGGTAGCCCTTTTCGAGGAGCTTGTGGATGACGTGCAGCGCGATGAAGCCGGAACCGCCCGTGACAAGGACCAGCTTGCCATTGGCTGCCATTGTGTTTGAGAGTGGATTGGCTTTTTGCTGGGAGTGTTTGGTCGTTGTGTAGGCTGCGTCGAGTCTTCGATAGACGGGTGAGATAAAGAGAGAGGTTGGAGTGAAGCCGTGCGATGCAAGGTGGCGAGAACTTGGTGATGGCGAAGCTATTTGTATACTTTAGTTAGTCGTCGAGTTGGCCCGCTTCAAGTGCCGACGGTGACGCGATAGTGGTGAGCCGTCCATCTCCGCAAAAAAAGAGCAACGCGACTACGACGTAATGAAGGCAGGATAAGCCGGTCCCCGAGATGAGCCCTGTTGGTGTGTGCAACCTTGTTCGGACTTAACCCAGTCTGAGACCGTACTTTCGGCGTTGAAGTTCATCGCCACCATCGTCCACAGGAAGAGAAATCGAAAAACAGAGAGAGACTCGGGGCGGGACCTCTACCGTTCCGTCGATGACACTAACACGGACCTCGGTGACCACGACCTCGGTGCAGCAGTGTACGCATGTAGTGGTCTTGCTAAGACTAGTTTTAGCGCTGGATTGTGGGCTTTCATCCTTGGCATGGTTGCAAAACCACATCTCATCTAACTAGTTAGATGTTTTCAACGATAGGAACTATCTGGAAGCTCTTCCAAATTGGACCAGAGAACCGGGCCTGCTTCTATCTGTCAACAAGCTCAAGGTTTGCTCTTCTCTCAAGGTCTACACAGGATAGTGAGTGGAGCAAACGAACTCGTCTCAAGTTCCGTATGCTGTTGTTGTATATAGACTTGTCTTCGACCCCGTCAGTACAACCCGAGTAATCACATCAAACTGTACATGATTGCGAATCCAAAGGTCAATATGAGGAACAATGAACAATTAACCAAAATAATTAAATGACACAAAAGTAATGGTAAGCCAGGGGGTCGCGACCAAATAACGAATCCCCGTCGGCAGATATGGATAAAGATGCCTTTCCAAACGCCTCCAACGCGCTTCTTCCCAGAATTTGGTCCTCTTGCGAGAATGAGGTGAGAGTAAAAAGAAATGTGCTCGTGATAGTGAGATGGAGTACCCAGAACAAAAAACAGAATATGAAAAAGAAGAAGAAAAAAGAGTGCCATCCATCATGGAGCCTGCTCCCCCCCCCCCCCCGGTACTCGTCCTCTCACTCCCCGCCTCCGTCCTCGAAACAGGCTCATTCATCTTTTTGATAATGTAGTTATTTTTAAACAAGACATGATGATGAAAAAAATTGGAAAAGGAGAGTTGTGCGGAACTCAAGTCAGCAAATGTTGTCGTGTTCTTGTTTGATCCGGCTTAAACGAAAAAGATGTATAACACCGGGGTCCGCTGTATAATAGTCCCCTCATTCAATTCGTGACATTCGTATAAAAAGGAAAATGTCTCTCACGTCAAGACTTTCATGTTTCGTCGACGGTTGAGAAACGGGCTGGGCATCTCGTCTCGATCAGGGTCCCAGACGGCGACAGCGTCCTCGTACTCGCGGCGCTCAGCGGCCATTCGTTCCCGGAAAGCGGCAGCTCTCTTGGGGCTCACGTTTTCGGATCCAGGCGCGCTGCCCAACGCACTCAACGGTCGCCCGCCCGCCCGCGCCTGCTGCAGCTCCACAAGGCTCCGGCCGCGGAGGTTGTTTTTGGCCGCCATCTTGCCCAGCATGTCGCCGCCTGCCTGGTTGGGGGCAGCCGGGGCGGTAGCGGCAGCGGCGGCGGGTTCCTTCTTGACTGAACGGGCACGCGATAGCCCCTCGCGGACCCCGCCCGGGCCTGCCGGTACGTCGCCCGAGTTGGCCACGGGAATCTTGGTCGGGCTACGGCTAGGGGAACGGGGGATGAGGTCTGGCTGCGAGGCTGTGGCCTTGATGTTGGAGCCCGTTGGTTTTACCCGGTTGACGGGACACGACTTTTGCGAGGTAAGAACCGGCCGCGTCTTGAACGGGTTCTTGGACGACTTGATGAGCCTCGTGGGCGACGGGCAGAGGTCCTCGTCATCCGAGTCCACCAGGATGGGCTCGCGGTGAAGTTCCCATCGTGCGTCCACACCCCCGGCGGCTGCAGCAGCAAATATGTTGCCTGGCTTAGCAGTTGGCGCCTTGGTGGCGCCGTTTCGGCGTGGTGAGAGGGAAAGGGAGGCAATGGCAATCGGGCTGGGCGATGCCATCACAATGTCCATTGGCGTGCCTACTGGCCCAGCAAACATAGTTTGGGCCCGGGCAAATGGTGTTCGGGCAGTCTTCTTCACCTCCTTAGAGGAGTCGGGGCTATCCATCGAGTATTCGCTAATGTCCGTTGTCGAAGGATATTCGTCTCCGCTCGCTCCAATGGATGATTGCGGGTAATCGGATTTGTTCACAGATGAAGCGTAGTCGTCAATGTGCTTCTCTTCCTCCTTTTCCGCAAAGGTGACGACCTTCTTCGCCAATTCAGCGTCGACCCGGATCTTGACCTCTTCCTCAAACTTCTTTTGCAAGTTCTCTAGCTCTATATTCACCAAGCGATCAATCTCCAAGCGTGCTTTTACCTCCCATTCAAGACGAAGCGAAGCGTCGACGTTATCGCGGATCTGTTGCTTTTCTCTTTCAAAGGCAAGCAGGCGGTCATTCAACTCCCGTTCTCGCCGGCAAATCATCTCTTCTCGCGAGGTGAGAGACTTGTTAAAATCCACCACTTCCTTTTCTTTCCTCATCAGTTTGACCACGGGCAAGTTCAACAGCTGAACCGTATCGGGACGGCGGTCAGGGTTCACCTTGAGGCAATCTCGGATAACCTGGTTCAGCTCCGGCGAGTATATCTCAGGCAGCGGGGCCACTTTGCCTTCCTTGATCTTCTGGACCAACTGATAGTGTGTCTTGGCGTTGAAGGGAGGCTCTTTAGCGCAGAGTTCGTAGATGATGCAGCCCAGTGCCCAAATGTCCGACTTGAGTGTGTATTTCTCGGCCGCACAGATTTCGGGGGACATGTAGAATGGCGTCCCAACATAGGTCGAGGCAAAGTCTTGAGACTTGATCATCTTGGAAAGACCAAAGTCCCCAAGCTTGACCGAGTTATCTTCCCCCAGGAATACTAATCTTCTTGTTAGTTCCGCATCATCTGGCAGTGTTCAAGAGCCTCACCGTTCTCGGGCTTGAGATCGCGATGCAGAATTGTCATCGCCCCAGCAGGCGTTTTTGGTGCAGATCCTCCGCCCTGTGTAAGACCAAGAATATTTGTGCCAACCTCTGGCGGGTCAACGCCATAGTGACAACGGTACAACGCAAGCACCAATTGGCTGAAGATGCTCCAGACGAAGCTCTCCTGAGCTCGTTGCCCTCTTAGTTGCAGATCCTTAATGACCCGCCCAAGGTCTCCGTTGCCACAATATTCCATATAGAGATGCAGGTCCTGGCTGGCCTTGAGGTGCTCTCGGTGGTAGTAGGCGACGATGTTGTCGTGTCGGAGGTGGGAAAGGATTTGAAACTCGGCATGCAGCTGTTCTCGCTCTTTTTGGGACATTCGCAGGTACGAGATTTCTTTCCGGCACAGGATGAAGCCGTCGTTCTTGCGGCGAACCTTGCGGATGATGCCAAAGGAGCCATGGCCTGGAGAGCACGGTATAGGTCAGTACAAGACGTAGCATGGCATGCAAGGCCTCATGCGCTCGAGGTAGAGAATTGGGTACGTACCAATCTTCTCGAGAGTTTCATATTTATCCTCCGACGACATGGTGAATAATTCACGGCTGTGCCGACTTAATCGAAAAGTCCCATGTAAGACGTCCTCCGTCGAAGCCCTGTTGGCCAGTAGATGCTCGTTGCGGGAAGGAGGGAAGGTGTCGCTGTGTTGTTAGTACTTGAGAATGTTGTTGTGAGGAAAGGAGAACGAGGTTTGAGAATAGGTGCCCTGTGCCATAAGAGAAGCAAAGTCGACACTGTCGTGCACCAAGTCCTGTAGCATCCCGGCCTGACCCACTGGTAGAGACCGGGGTGACGGGCCAAGTAAACAGGCCCGAACGGTGCCATAGCAACCACTGCAGTGCGACGTGCCTTATGTAAGGCGGGCACTTATCGATAGGAGATGTGGCGGGGCTTCTGTGGCTGCGGCTGGCCTTGGCCCGTGCGCTGATGGCGTCGTTGATGACTTGCCTCGCTGGAACTTGCATTATTAAACACCGAGACTGCCAAAAATCTAACTATAATGCTATCCATACTCTTAATTCCTTTTTTGTCCTTTTTATTCTAGTATTTTTTTGTTGCGCCCCTCTTCTAGAGCGATAAGCGGCGTCTCTTAGTTGTGCGCGGTGCTGCAACGGACTAAACTCTGGTGTTCAAAATGGTCATGACAAAGTTTGGCCTCGAGGGCAAACTCCACGAAGAACATCGAATGATCAAAGACGGTGTATTGAGAGAAGATAACCCTCTTGATCAAACCCAAGAGTTCAATGACTTCCTTGTTGCGTGCCGTCATGGCGACCTCCGGAAATGCCAAGAGCTTATGAACACGGGCGTGAATATCAACGGCAAAGATAGATTCGACTATACGCCGCTAATTATTGTGAGTCTTGCATATTCTACCATAATAAAACACCAATTCTCATACTATAGTAGGCTAGCCTTTGTGGCCACTATGAACTGGTGCAATTACTGCTAGAAGCTGGTATGTCCTCTCTATTGCCTATCTCGGCATTGGGCTCAACCATTGCGCAGGAGCCCTCGCAGAAAGAAATACCTTTCAAGGAGAAAGATGTATTTATAATGCCTTGAACGACCGGATACGAAACCTGCTACTCAAGTACGACTTTTCCAAGTCGTCTGATCCTTTTGTCTACTGGTCCTCGCACATAACCGCTCTCATGTCCATGAAGACACCCAAGACCTCCGACATTACGCTAACCTCGGACAATCGCTCGTTTGAGCTGCACAAATTTCTTCTCTCAGCCCGGTCTCCGTACTTTCGCAAAAAGCTCGAGGCGCAGCCCGACACGGAGGTTTGGAAACTCGCGACGGCGATCCCGGACGAGTCATTTCACCTCGTCTTCCAGTACATCTATCTGGGCGACATGCCCAGCGATCTCTCATCTACCAGAAGCAATGTGTCGGACGAGGCCATCCTGACAGGCGTCGATAAGATCAGCAAGCAGCTGGAAATCGACCACCTGTGGGAAGCTATCCTCGAGGGCAACGACCGCCGTCTTGCGCGCCAGCGCCATCAGGACGAAGTTGGGCGCGCCCTGAAACAGGTCAGCGACTTTTTCCAAGACAGCATCATCGGTCACAAGATGGTCGTTGACACCGATCGTGTCGACGAGGTCACCTGGAAACATGGCAACTCCATCTTTGCCGACGTGTTGCTCCGCGCCGACGAACCCGAGCACGATGCGGACGAGAGCGACGCGACTCCGCCGGCCGCCACGTCAACTCCCAGCACGCCGCCCAGCATCCCCATCGGGCCCTCCATTCCCACCGCGGCGCCGGCGCGCACGTCGGTGCTGTACCCCGCGCACAAAGCGATGCTCATCCGCAGTGACTACTTTCGGCGCATGTTCTCGGGCGAGTTCGTCGAGGCGCGGCGCGCGGACTGCCTGCGCGTGGTGACGGTCGACTGCAGCCCCGCGGTACTCGAGCTCGTGCTCGCGTTCCTGTACACGGAGACGGTGGCGTGCCCGCTCGAGCACGCACTCGAGCTCCTATACGCCGCCGACATGCTCTTCCTCGACACCCTCAAGACCAAGGCGGCCGTCGCGATCAGCACCCTCGGCAGCGGCCGTAGCAACGCGCTCGTCGACCGCACCCACGGCGGCAGGAGTCACGACAAATCCCCGCCGCCGCGTCGCAATGGAGCAGTACCCGAGACCCCAAGCGCCGCCGCCGACGACGACGAAGTCGAGCCCATCAACATCTACGACGTCATCCACGCCGCCTGGGACCTGCGTGTGCAGCGCCTCGAAGAGTTCGCCGCGCGCTACCTCGCCCACCGTCTCGAGGACTACATTGACGACGCCGAGTTCCAGGAGCTTATCCGCGCGAGCGCCGACCGCATCCGCGCCCGCGAGGAGACGGACACGATTGAACTGCTCGACGATATCCGGTACTACCTCTCGGAGCGCTTCCGTCTGCGCTTCGAGGACACCAACCTCGACGACATGCTCAACGGGGAGGGCGAGGTGTCGGCCGACGGCGCACAGGGGGTTTCAGATGGCGTCGCAGACTCTGCTGCGGCTGCGGCTGCGGCTGCTGCGAGTGGCGTGCGCACACTGGACGGGGAGGCGGCCGAGGATGAGTTCTTGTCCGACGCCATCAACTACCAGGTCCTGCTGGGCAAGATTGACAGCATGCTGGAGCGGCTGAATCTTGACGCCTAAACGACAACACAAAACAAGTACGAATCATATCGCTATCCATACAAGTTCATACATATATTTTTTATATTTTTTTTTTTCATATTAGAAATGGGTGGGGGGATAAATTGGGCACGCTGGACATGGAAAAAGCACCTTTACAAAACGCCTACATACACAGCCAAGTCTACATTACATGTTCATGAAATGTTGCCTTCAACTAACGCTTTTTGGATATCTTTACATATTGATAGATTTACATGTAAAAACTCAGACCCACGCTGTAGAGCAAGAAATGTGAACAGTAAAACAAGTCATCGCTATCCAAATGGTATGTACTCACTTTTCCTCTGCCGTGTCCTCGCTTAATAGTCAACCATTTTGATTTGTGGGCGCAACGTCTCCGGCAGCTCCTCGAGCGATACAATGCCGTGCTTGACGCAGTCGCCCCAGAAGAAGAAGGCGCGGCTCTGTGTGTAGCTGAGGTAGTCAAACTCGTCAACACCCATTTCTTCCTCGGCCTTCTCGGCGACGTCGCGGGCCACGGGGCGGTTGGCCTCGTCGAGGCCGGGAATCTTGGCCTGGACGACGCCCCAGGCGGCCCACATGGCGCTGTTGGCGGTACGCCAGAGGCGCGTCGATTCCATGAGCTCGCGGACCTGTGCTTCGCTCTGCTCCTCGCGGGCGCGCTCAGCAGCGGACCAGCCACCGACGGGCGCGCGGGCGTCGAGCATAAACTCGACGATGGAGCTGCTTGACGCGGTGGGCAACAGAGCCGGCGTGCCCGTGCACGATCCAGAGCCGGCGCCCGCGTTGGCGGCCGTGTTGGCAGCCGTGCTGCTGCTGCTGCTGTCTTGGGGCAGTATGCGCGGGGTGCCGAGGGCGGGAAACTGCGGGCGGTGGTTGATGTAGGCCTTGATGAAGTGGTGCTGCTCCTCGGGCGTCGGGTAGCGCTCCACGTTGCAGGCGTGCGAGGTGACGGGGTCGTGGTAGTTGTAGGTCCACTCGGTGAAGTGGTTGGCGAACTCGAGGCCGGGCGTGTTAGCGGCAGCGTACTCAAAGTCAATGACGATGAGCTGTTTGTGCTTGTTGGCAGCCTGGAGGAGGGGCGACTTTTCGTCGTCGGGGCGGATACGAAGAATGTTGCCGTATTGTGTCTGCGTCTGTTAGCCAAGTAGGGCTGCGTGAAGGAAAAGGGGGTGATGTGAAGCTTACATCGGAATGGGCAAAGACTAGGCTTTCGCGAAGTGCTTTGGGGGTCTTGTAGAAACTGTCAAGATAGGCTCTAAACTTGATGACGGCGGCCAGGAACTGGGGCCAGGGCGCGCCGCAGACGTAGCCGTTGGCTTTCCAGGCATGCACAACCGAGGCGGCGCGCGGTCCTTCGGGGACGTTGTGCAGATCCTGGTCGAGAAACTGCACAATACGGCCAACATTGTCGAGCCACTGGTCCCAATTCTTCCAGATGCCGGGGCCGGCGTCCCGCTCCGACGGGAGCAGTTCGATGCCGTCGTGCAGCTCGCGCATGCGCTTAGCAATCTGCTTCATGGTGTCGGGTTCGCGCAGGTCGCTCGGGCACAGCGTGATGGCGTTAAAGTACTGCTCGAAGCGGCCATTCTTAAATGTGCCAAGCAACCGCGGACCGATCTTCTTGCGCGCCAGACGCTGGAGGACCTTAAGCTCGTTTTCGCGGTCAATCAGGTGCTCGACCTGGGGGCCGTAAATGCGGAGTAGGATCTTCGGTGGCATCTTCTTGCCCTCGACCTCGAGGATATCGGCGGGTGGGGTGACGACATAGACGGCGTTGGTTAAGGCGCCGCTCAAGCGCTCAACCCAGATACGGTGGCCGTCGCCGAGGGGTACACGGCGCCAGCCCTTGAGCCGCAGGGTGTGCGCGATGCGAATAATTTCATTCTTGAACACCAGCCAGACCTCCTTCTCCTTGGCGACGCGGGTAGCCGTGGCCGTGGCTTCGGGTGCCTCATTGCTCAGTGCGGCGCCCGAGTAGACGAGCGTCTTAGAGTTGTCGAGCCAGGCGTCACAACTGGGCACGACGACGTCGCCCTCGCCGTACTCGGTGTCCGAGGAGGCGGCGGCGCGCAGCGAGCCGCGGCGCTTGGGTGGCTTCTGCCGGGGCGGGTGGGGGCTGAAGTGCGGGACAGCTGTGAGGCCCATGGACGCCATAGAGTCCTCGACGATACGTTGGAGGCGGTCGAGGGAGACGTCGCTCGCCTGGGAGTCGACCGAGTCGGAGCGCTGCCGGTGCTGAACCTGGGGAGCAGCGGCGGTGGGGTCAACATTGTCGGCATCGGGGCCGCTGTGCGCCGTGCGGCTGCCGTCGGGCGGGGATTGGGAGGAGCGGCGCGGGTGGTGGTGGTGGTGTAGGTGGGTGCGCTTCTTGCGACTCGCAGCCTTGTGTCGCTCGTGCTCGAGCCAGTCGCTAACCTGTGCAAGCAGCTTCTCGCTGTAGTATTGGCGGTTGTTGTCGTGACGGGAGGAACGTGTCTGTGAGGAGTAGGGGTCGTCCTGGGGCCGTAAAGCGGGAGAGGGCTCGCTGATGGAGGAGCGCGAAGAAGAGACGGGCTTGCCGCTCATACGCTTGCTGGAAGAGCTTACGCGGAAGAGCTTGGAGGACTGGCTGGGGTCGGCGTCGTCAACGAAGTGTTCCTCGACGGGCTCGGCGATCTGGACAGCTGTTGGGGGTAGGGTTAGCAAACAAGGTTGTCAGGACATGCACGCACAACGCACACGCACACACCTTTGAGGGAGCCGCTGACAGGCGGTGTCCTGTCACCGTCGTCGTCCGCTTTCAGGGCCGAGCGAAGGGGTGTCGGCCCGTATGCGGGAAAATGTTCGGTTGACATGATTGGGAGGGTTGTTGGCGGGGGCACAAAAACCAAGGGCAATCACAAGCCAGAAGCTGTGACGGCGCCAAGACGGGGAGCAAAAAGGGTGGGAGCACCAGGGACGTTGGGAGGAGCGTGTCAAAAAGTAGGATGGGACGAGAGGGCTGAGGAGGGAGAATCAGGTCGACATGCTCGGCTCGCACTAGGTGGAAGAGGTCAGGAGCAAGTTTGGTGGAAGAGGATGCACGCGACAGGAAACCGAATGTGAGGGCGGGTGTTGTTGAAGTGGTGGTGGTGGTCTGGGGGGGATACAGGTAGTAATAAGGAAGGGTAAGTGTTGTCGTGGGCTTGTCGTGAGCTTGGTCTGGGCTTGGTGGGGAGATTGCAGGGCTAGTAGGAGGTACCTGTTAGCTCTTTAGCTCTTGGGGGACAGGACACAGACTCGCCCTACGACTCGGTGTTTGGCTCCTGCAGATGAACTACGTCATTTTATCAATCCAGAGCTTTTTTGCTCATCTTTTCGGATACTATGCTTTTATGCTTTTCCTGGTTCCTCTCCTGGAGAATGTATAATGAATGGCTTCCCCCGTTACTCAGGGACCACCTGTTTACCTTGATAACATCAACGTTGTCAGATATGAAAATGGTCACGAGACACTAACAAGCGCCACAGCCCTGGAATAACCCGCTACTAGCCAGCCCCGTTGTAGATAAACCTATTGCTACCTGTCGCCCGTTGATAAAATTTATTAAACCACGGCAAACCGGCCTGGCTGTCTCACATCTCCATCGCCCACACACAAGATTGCCCTTTTTTTTCCCGCGGCTGGACGGCACGCGACACCTGCAGCCAATATTCCTCCCGCGTTACGGATACGGATACAGCAGCCTCTCTTGTTCCTTTCTCCAACTTCCTCCCCCTTGTTTTCAACGCAAGGCTTTGCATTTTCACGCTTTCCCTCTTCCTCTTCATGTTGCCGCCAAGCTGACAAGCTTCTATCCCGCCATCCCGCCCAGCTTACTGGTATTCCTCACAGCTAGTCTACATCAAGCCACCGACTGTCCGTACTCGGCCACCGGCACGTCGTCCATCCCGACGACCCAGGCAACACGCCAAATATTAGTGTACATAAATTCACCGCTACTATTTACATCTTTGACATGGGCAAGAGGGGGATTCCAGACGTGTCTTGGTGACGGTGTATCCGAAGCTTTTGCTGCATCAATATATACATTCATTCCACAAACATGGCTCTGTGCAAGTATCCGTGCAGTCACGCACTCACAAACGCTAACCTGTAGATCTACCTGGGGCCATCCCATCTCATCCGCCAGATAAACTTTCCGCAGCAAAACGAAGCACCAACGGCGGCCACCAAAGTGTGAGTCACCAAGAAAAAAAAAAGAAGGATCAATAACTAGCAACACCTGGTCTCGATCCAGGGACCTACGGGTTATGAGCCCGTCGCTCTTCCACTGGGCTATGTTGCTTATTGCGTTTCGCTTGAGGTGTGAATGGCACAATGTGACTTATGAACCCATCCACCACGACCGCTGTGACTCACACGCTTCCAATTGTTCGTACTACCAAAGGTGCACGTATTTTCTCTATCTACAAACATGTAAATGCTACAACAAAAAACACACAAGCACCTCCTTTACTTGGACAGCAGCCAGTCCCGTGACACGTCCATGCCCTCGTTTCGCAGCGCCCACACCACCGCGTCCACCACATCATCGACAATCACCGTCGGCTTGTACCGCGGCTCGGGCTCCTGCAGCGTGGGCTGAAAGACACCCGTGCGCACCAGGATCGACTCCCACTGCGCACCATCGCCTGGCGCAAAGTCGTTGGCCCCGCGGATATCGCTCTCCGGGTTGTCGCCAATCATGTAGACCCTGCGCAGCGGCCTCGTCGCCGTGCCGCCTTGCCCCAGCACGTCGGCGTCGTACCGCAGCAGCCGTTCGTGCGCGTACTCGTACGTGCGCCGCGACGGCTTGCCCAGCGCCTGGTACCGCAGCGGCGCCGCGCCCCCCGTCACCGCCGCCCACACGCCCTTGAGCGCCTCCAGGAACGCGCCCGTACCGAACCGGTTCACCGGGTACTCCGTCTTCCACACGAGGTCCAGGTTCGAAATCCACAGCCCCGGCTGCCCGTCCTGCTGCCACCCGGCGTCGGTCAGCGTCCGGTCGCCGTTCTTGGTCGACAGCGTGCCCGGGTAGCCCCGGTACGAGACGAGCAGGTCGTGGATCACCTGGATGTCGAGCGACCAGTCGCGTGGGTCGTTCCACACCAGGATCTGGTCAATTTTGAGCGCGTCGGGGGGGATGACGCGGCTGTACGGGTCGCTGATGGCGGCGGCGCTCTTCCCGTCTGGCAACGGCGAAGATTCCTTGTGCAGGCTGTCGCGGAGATGAGCAAACGGGTAAATATGTCCATTGGCGGCCAGCAAGTCCGCCGGCGTCACCGCTCGCTGAAACCCGTATCTGGATAGAAATGTCAGTACATTGTCCTGGTAAAACCTCGTAAGAAAATGCCAACACGCACTCTCTGGCAAGCTGCCTTGCTGTTTCAGGCTGGGATGCCGTGACCAGCACGGTGCCGTTCTTCTTGACATCTTCATCCCAGCTCCGCATGGGCGTATGCGACAATATCACTCTATCCTTGAGCACATGTTCTGGATTCTCGAGGCCCAGCCGCTTCGCCAGAGATGCCACCTTGGCATTCTCATGCGCGCCGCCGCCGTTGGTCAAAAACACGTAGCGTAACCCCAGCTGCCGGATTTTCTGCAGCATCTCTTTGGCACCTGGGATACCTTTTTGTCCTTGGTACAGCACGCCATCAATGCTAGCGGTGAAATCAATTAGTCAGTATGCCAAGTATCACTCTACTAGAGCCAGGGGAGCGGACGTACTCGAATGCAAATGCAATATCCGCAAAGGAAGGGTTCCTCTCTGAGCCAGTGTCATCCACAGCCGCCGCAGTAGAGCCCGTTTCCCTGAACGAAGCCTTCTCGCGCAATTGGCGCGGCGCGCTGCTGAAAGCTCGGTGCTGCGCCGCCTTACGAATGATGCTTGTGGCTGGCGCAACGGCGTGAGAGCGGAGGACGCCGGCCCTGGCCAGTGACCAACAGCACGGCGCCAGACGCGCGCCGAGCACCCGACTGCAGATCATTTCCGCCAAAGATATCCTGCGACTCCCAATCTCCGCGAGTCTCCTTCGGTGTATCGTCAGTAGAAGAAATACGCGCGTGAGTGTGTGAGTTGCAAAGGTGAGACCTCGTCAGTAGCTTTGGTAGTAATAAAGTGGCTTCTAGCTCCACCAACCGGGAGTGAGAGCCGGCCTCGTGCCACGATACAGGGATGATGAAACAATGCGATTGCTCTCTTAAAGAACTGTAAAAAGACATCTCACGGTTCTAGTCAAGTTTCTAACGTTGAGCTTCTCAAATTCTGAGAGCTGGAATTTTATCAAATCGCCGACTGAATGTTGTCAGTCTTGGGTAGGTATTACCACAAAGCTCACATTTATACACGACGCGCAAAGTCGACAGATTATTTGATTTCGTGGAGTTGTCTGCTATTACAATTCGTCACTCTTTACAAGTTGTAGAAAAAGTACAGTAGTATACAATTCGCCCAAGCACCCGGAAAGGCAGTCCATTCCCCCCTATCTCTTCGCCCAGTCCTTCATGTGGTCCAGGATCAGCTTGGCGCCCTCGTCCGGCGAATGCTGGCGGCCGAGCGCCTCGACAAAGTCGCCGTCGGGGTCCATCAGGTAAAAGTAGATGCTGTGGTCGACGAGATAGTCCTGGCCGGGCTTGACATTTTGTGGTGTGCTGAAGTAGACGCGGTACTTCTTGCACGTGTCCTTGATTTGATCGTAGGTGCCCGTCAGGCCGATGAACTCGGGATGGAACTCGGCCAGGTAGCCCTTGAGGGCCGCAGGGTCGTCGCGCTCAGGGTCGCATGTGATGAAGATGGGCAGCAGACTTCCGGCCGGCGCGCGCTCCTTGACAATGTCAAGCATGCGCGCCATCTTGTCGAGCTCTTCGGGGCAAATGTCGGGGCAGCGGGTGAAGCCAAAGTACACCTGGTGCGGGGAACTATTAGTTTATATCATCTTTGGTGGGGTCGTAGTGCAAGTCTGTGTCACGTACCAATGCGTATTTGCCCTTCATCATCTCGCTGGTAAAGGGCTTGCCGTCGTGGTCAACCAGCTCAAAGGGACCTCCGACCAGCGGTCTGCCGACGCCCTTGTTCGCCTCGGCGATTCGCATGCGCTGCATGCGCTGTTTTTCGTGCTCAAAGTACCAGACCAGGACGCCGCAGGTGGCGACAAATAGAAGTCCGGATTTCCAGGAAAACGGCTAAGGGAGCGCGACAACTCGGTCAGTCTTGCCATTACGCAGCAGAGCTTCCATCTTGTTTCGGATGATTCATACCCCAGTGCTATGTCGGCTCTTGGCCTGCTCGACCGTGTTGTACTTTGTACGCTTCTGCGTCATCGGAAGTCGCGCGCGGATACTGCGCATCGCGGCGGCGGCGCTGGACCGGGAGAGCTTGGTTTGCACCGCGCTGTTGGAGAAGCAGCGTTGGCACTGCGGCGCGGAGCCCCGGACGAGCGCACTGCGCATCGCAGTAATGGATATTCTCGAATGCGCCATTGTTGTCGTCGCTGCCGATTGGTCGCGGGTGATGTTTAAACGGCGATGGTCTAGGAGCTGTTGATGATAAATGATAAAATAATTTGCTTAGTGATGATAGCAGGTTTCCGAACATCTTCCGGCAAGCTGCTTCCTCACTGTGGCGCCACTTGGATGCGCTAACCACTTGCCTGAAAGCCGCCAGGATTAGCACATTGACGCGGTATGGTAGTTACAGTAGCACTGCCGTCTGTGGGTGAATGCTTGATCTAAACATGTTACAATAGCTCCTGAAACTTGCGACGGATTAATTCTTCGCGATTCTTTTATGAAGCATGCAGCATATCACCGGCTTTTTCAACGCATAGAGAGTCCCGCCAGGGCCAATCGGGACACTCCATGATGGATTCCCTGTACTCGGACGATTCGCGCTTCGAGGTCGACGTTTTCATCAAGAATGAATCCGCCGCCGCCTCACCCCGCGCCGCTTCCTCTACGCCCATTCCGTCTACCGAGACGGCTGACCTCACGCCATCGTCGACGCGCGCGTCGCCCCCTAAAAAAAAGGGCACCGCTGCCACCGTCAAAAAGATCCCCAAGCGGCCCAAGTCGACGCTTCCCAGGAAACCCAAGAAGCCCAAGAATGGGGGCGGCGCCGCCGCCGCAGACGACGGCTCCGGTGGCGACAATGACTCGGACAACGGCCCGTACTGTCTGTGTCAGGGGCCCGACGACCACCGCTGGATGATCTGCTGCGAGGGGTGCGACGACTGGTTCCACGGCGAGTGTATCAACCTGGTCAAGGAGGTCGGGGAGAACCTCATCGAGAAGTTCATCTGCCCGCGCTGCACCAACAAGCATCTGCGGTCCATCTACAAGAGAAGCTGCAGCATGGGCGCCTGCAAAAAGGCCGCGCGCCTCAGCCAGTCCCCGCCGAGCTACTTTTGCTCCCCTGAGCACGCGCAGGCCTGGTGGGAGCGCCTCGTCGGCCGGCTGCCCAAGGCAGCCAAGGGCGGCAGCGGCAGCGGCGTTGTGACGGACCACCTTTCCCAGGACGAGTTCATGGCGCTCCTGTCTAGCGGACTGGCGACTGTGGACGAGCATGGACACTGGGCCATGACTTCTTCGCCCTTTGCCGCCAGCAACGGGAAAGGAATCATCACAGGTACAGTTGATATCCACGACGACCATACAAAGTAATCCTCGTTTCCGGCTAACTCTATCCAATGCAGATGACAGCACAGACTCCATCCTCAGCGAGGAGGAGAGAAGCTACGTCGAGCAGGCCGCGCACACGCGACGGCAGCTCGAGGCCGAGACGCTGCTGTGCGACAAGATGCTCGCGCTTATTGAGCGCGCGCAGGAGCGGCGGCGCGCCGCCGTGGCCGCGGGCCGCTTCGGCGACGACATGTGCGGTTACGACCAGCGCCTCGACACCATCTCGGCGCGCGACGCCTTTGCCGCCTACGCGGCGTCACCCGAGGGCGAGGCGGCCCTGGCCACGGGCGGCCGCCTCGACGACCCGCTCGGTGACGGTGATGCCGCCCGCGGCATGTGCGAGCGCAAGCGCTGCAAGACGCACAGCGGCTGGCAAAAGGCCCTCGCTCTCGGCATACGTCACCAGATCCGCGAAATGGCCGCCCAGTCCGAGATCGAGGCTGCTGAGGAGCGCTTCGTCCGTGAGGCGGCTGCGGAGCGCTGGAAGCGGAAGCAATCGGAGAAGAACTGGGTTGAGGTCCTCGAGGGCTGATCAGGGTTCGTCTGGGTAGGAAAAGGAACGGGAGGACGTGACTTTGCTCATGGGCAGGATCAGCTTGGCGTTATGGGGTTGTGTTTTTGGTGTGAAGTGGCGTTAGGCAGTTTCTGGTCGCTTATGAAAAGATTGGTTTCCATCTACAATATTCAACACCATCGAGTCAGAGAATGCGGCCAGGGGAAGGTTACGTTCTGCTTGCTTCAAACGAGACTTCGCCTTGGCTACTCTGCAGTTGTTCTGCAAAGGATAGCTCTTAAGAATATTGTACCGACTGGCATCTAGCCTGGCCCTTATAACTTGTAGATGAGGCACTCATGTTAGCCAAAGCATAATTCGAAAGCATGGGCTCGTTGGACATGCGCTGTTCTCATAGGATTTCGCGCAGTACTCGAATCTGCAAAACGAAGAGTGAATTAAAAAACTCTTATATTCTATTGTTTACTTGTAGTGCAGTTCTATTCGTCTATTCGTTGTCTTGCTTAGAATAACACATTGCTTTACATGGTCAGCTTGCAGAGCGAGACAGCTATTGCCCAAGGTGATTGATATCAGACGAGATTTGTGGCACGCGATATAGAAAAAACAGATAGCAGAATAAGAGTCAGGAAATAAGAGGTGGGAAAGGTGAAGATTGAGAAAGAAACAAAGGGTAATTTCTGTATTCTTTATCATTGTTGCTTGGAAACCAGGACGACTCAGAGGTGAGAGTTGCTAATTAGTTGCAAATAGACCTGCCAGCCTGCCAACCATGATTCAACGCAATCAAGTCGATTACAGAGAATCCGCTGTGAAAGAGTCACACCTGTAGTCCAAACGCCGATATTACAAATTCCGCCATTTAGCTATGGCGCCGCTCCATGGCAGCTCCTGCGGTACAAGTGGATAGCGATAATTTACGTGGCGAAACATGTACCTTTGGTGCATCATCGCAATGAGGGGCAACTCGGCGAAAAAAAGTCCAACCCCCACCATCGGCAAAAAAAAGTGATTATCAAGCATCCAAGCTCTCTGGCGACTTCCATCTACACACCACGGGCCGACGCCTAGGATATAATACGAGATATCCCCCGAAGGCAGGCTTCCTCCCGCTCCTCCTCACGAATATTCTTCCTGCTTGAGCGTTCTTGTTTCTTCCCTTTTTCCACGTCCCGCTGCCCACGATGCCTTCCGACCCGCCTGAGCAGCCGCCTCACGCCGACGAGGACCTCGACGTGCTCGCCGCCGACGACGCCGCCGAGGAGATACCCGACGACGACAATGACATGGCCATGGACTCTGGCGACGACGACGAGGAGGAACTGACCCTCGCCAACGACGCCATTGCCTACTTTGACGAGCCCCAAGACTCCCTCTTCGCCATTGCCCAGCATCCCGCGCACCCGTCCCTCGTCGCCGTCGGCGGCTCCGCGGGTGCTGGCGACGACGCGCCCGGCGCCGGCTGGGTCATTGACACGTCGGCGGCGCCCAGCCGTCCCGTCCTGCCGACCAGCTTCGCCGCCGACCAGGCCGCGCCGGCGCCACCTGCCGCCCTGCCGAGCCTCTACGCCCTCGAGGGCCACACCGACTCCATCAACGCGCTCTGCTGGACGCTGCCCGCGGGCGAGGCGCTCGTCAGCGGCGGCCTCGACGGCCGCGTGCGCGCCTGGCGCGCCGACGCGCGACCCGCCGCCGGCCTCACCATGACGCCCCTCGGCGAGATGCAAGAGGTCGAAGAGGTCAACTGGCTCGCCGCCTGCCCGTCGCCGG